TCTGCTTCCATTGGGATCAACAATATTATATCGATTAATTTTCTTCGCCCAGAGATTACTCGAATTTCATTTTTTAAAAATAATTCCATAGCGGTGGATCCAGATCTGTGATAGGGAGAAGAAACAATGAAGGCGGAGGCTAAACGAATCGAGCGCCGATGGAAGCACGTATTGTACTCAATATCGATCTATTGACCTAGAATCGAAATTCTTTCTGATTAGGTTCGCTTCGGATCCTTTAGTTCGAATCGATAACTTCATTACTTCCTCCTATATGATCCGGTCGTCGAGAAAGACGAGATTCTTTTTATCGATTAATTTATGAGTATCTAGTACCTATGTGCCCAAAGTGATATGTCTCTATTTACTTCGTCTTTATAAGCTTTATCTATTTAATAACTTTATTTTATTTGTTACTATATCTATATAAATAAAATAAAGGTCTTGTCTGTACATTGAATAGAATCAACCCGTTTCATGATATCTTTCCGTTTCATACATTACAGACACCAAATACACTTTTAAACAATTTATTGTCCGCATTGTCCAACGAAATTTTGTCAGGGGTAAGTTCAGCAATGGCTAATGGTAGACTTTTGAAATTTTTATATTATATTCAGGTTTGCGTGACTTGAAACGTAGGCTTTAAATGAAAACAAAATATTGAGCAGAACCAAAGTTATGGAATTCTTGAGTAATTTGTCTAGAGATTTCGGTTAGGGAGTTACTTCGGTTCTCATCCCAACCTACTCTACCGCGAGCCATATTTAAAAGTTGTACTATTCAACTGATAGAAAAAATTTTCACGATTCAACCGGAAAAATCCGAAGTACGGAACACCTGTAACGTGTTGTCGCTTAAAACACGGGTAAAACACATTCATTTTTCAACTTTGTCCGATCTTCCCGTTCAAGGTGTCATTCGATTCAACTTACCGACCCTAACAAATCTTGCCGTATATATTTTTAGGATTAACCAAACGGATTATCCGGAATTTTGAAAAAAAAAAATTCAATATTCAAGTTCTAATTTTACACGTATGTAGGTCACTGAGTGTCCAATGCTATTTTGGTTATTTTGCCAGTGGTAAACTCAGCAATGGTTCATGGTAGACTTTTGACATTTTTACATTAGATTTAGGTTTGTTTGACTTAAAACATTCTTTGAGTAAAAACAAAATATTGAGTAGAACCTGTAATGAATTCTTGAGTAATTTGTCTAGAGATCTGGCGTAAAAAGAAGGATCCATAAATTTGGATATCATTCCCAATAATACAAAATCCATCACAAAAAAAGGTTCTCAAATTTTAACTATTTTGACGGGTACATCAGCTAGTTTTTTATGATTGTAATTACTGCTGAAAAAATATTTTATGAATATATAACTTAATTTAGCAATAAATTTATTGTTATACTTCTCCTTCAGCAATGAGGCATCATTTCTTCAGGATGGCCACATGAGACAGGAAGTTGAGGAGAAAATTTCTGTTGGTTGCGTGCGAGCTATATTACTACAAAGTAAATATAGGAAAACCGGCAACCTTTTGTTCAATTGTTACAAAATATAATTTAAAAAAACATTTATGGATATTTTTCACTTTTTTTCTCTGCCTAAATTATACTTATCTCGATTTCCATAAAAATCCATTATGTCTACTTTGGAAGTAAATGACTCATTAAATATGTCATATTAGGTCGGAATCTATTTTCCATTCTTGGAACTGTTCCAAATCTGATCTTCAGCTGTTCCTTATGGTATCGTACATTCATATAATGGCTCACACGCGTAACAAGTGATGTAATAACAAGTGAGTTAATAAAAGAACTGCAGTGTTTAAAAATAACTTTATAAATTACACATAAATAAATAAGTTATTTATATAATTTATAAAGTTTCTTTATTTATTTATTGATTTTTATTTTATTTTATTTATTTAGAAAAAATACATTTCGGTTCAATTAAGGGCATTGAGTATTTAAGATGAATGAAATACAAATACACCATATATACAGTAAAAGACAAACAAGAAAAGTTATTTTTAAAAACAGCCAGCAGTTCTTTCAATAACTGATTTGTTATTAACCCACTTCTCACACGTCATAGCCAACTAAAATTATAAAAAAAATCTGAGATGAAGTTACTAATAATCAATTAATGAATTCTTGTACTATGCTATTATTTCATATGCTTGTTGTCATATAGAAACAGAACCCTGTACGGTTTTTGAAAGAACAGCTGTAAGAAAGTATTTGCAAAATCATAGATTTCGAACAGCTTCCATAATAGAAAATAAAGATATGGATCCCAACTTATTTAAAGAGTCATTTATTTCCAAAGTGGACCATAATCGATTTTTATGGAAATAAAGATAATTATCGATTTTCAAAAAAAAAAAAGCACCCAATTAATCTAAGGTTACAATTGGTTTTTTTTTTTTTTTTTTTTTAAACGAAACAGACATTTTTTTATACTAATTTTATATAACTTAAATAAATAATAAATACCTATCGTGTACTTAAAGTGATATTCAAGTCTTCACGACTTCAAGTATGTCGCTAAGAATGAAATTCGTTATATCTTTATTCAAATCGCATGCGTTTTGTTCCGACTCGTTTTGTTCTACGTGTTATGTATATAATTGCTTTAGCTCACCAGGGTTCCGTTTGGATGACCCGTACACGAGAAAACTTCGATCTCACTTGTATTGGGTTGGCAAATAAGTCCTTTCGGTTTTTCTGTTTATTTATATTTCATTATGATACACTTCTTATCCGATGAATTAATTCTTAAGGTGGGTTGTTTATCCTGTTTGTAATATGGCAACAACTTAAGTCTTGTTGAAACAACCTGAGTATGGTGTTTGCTATTGCACTGTGATTGTAGAAGAAAACATGGTTTGGTGCCAACCTTACTTGGTCCATATGAGCTTGTACCCACATATCTTCCTTACTCTTATGATTAATTACCCATACTCTATCTCCCCCTGCAGGACTTTGTGTTGGATCTTCCACCATATGTTTTTGTTTGTTTCTCTTGTTGCTGTTTCACTTTAATCTTGGTTGCAGGAGGTTTCGTAATGATCTTCCAAACAAAGCTTGAGCTGGAGATATTCCCGTAGTAATATTCCCGTAGCACAGTTGCGATAGACAAAACGGTTTAGTACTTTGCACGCGTGGGTTCGGATTCCATCGTTCTCACCAATGTAATGTATCAATAATTTCACAGTAAATTAAACACGGAAAATTTCCATTTACTGTCCATGATTACGTTTGTGATCTTAATAACTAAAAAAACATATGTCTCATTACCAAAAAGATTAAATAATAAATCGATTTAGTATTTAACCCTTTAACAAAAGATTAATATACTACACAAAGGATTCTATGTCATCGTAGTATCGATAGAAATTAGTACTACTAAAAGTTATTAAGATGTTATCATTTGATGGAGCTGAATTTTTAAGATCGTTTTTGTGAATTTCGATCGTAATATAAGTGCATTAAAAAGAAAAAAAAATTTAAATTTAAATTATCCATGTATATCAATAATAATTGCAACTAGCGCACAATTTTCTGGTTTAAAAAAAGAAGTTGTTTAGATCTTAGAGGCGTAAAACTCCGAAACCATCAACTCCTATCTAATCTTCATTTCAGTTACCTCAATATTAAATTATTTTAGGGGAGAAAAAAAGTTAAATTTGAATTTTGTTTACCAAATCATTGGCTTGAAGAAAATTATCACCGACTATATTTTAACTTCACCATTATTTAAAATAACTGGTAGGTATGAGTCCTAATTAAGAAATTTTTTTGTTATACCTGATGATCTAGTTCTAAATAAACAGTAGGGAAATTAGGATCTACAGTTAAAAAAAAAAAAAAAAAATTAAGAAAGGACGTAAATGAAGGAGGAGTGAATTGAATCTATTAAAGATTGAACACAAACTAAATGCCTTCAGGAGATGAAGGATAAGATTTAGAGAACTCTCCATCAGTCTCAGTCTTGTCTTGGGAACAGCTCTCGATGGTTTGTCAGGTCCTCTTCAATGTAGGACACTTCTTGTCGAAAAAACGGCCTGAGTAATGGTAAATCTGTTATAGTATATATCTTAATTCTTGTATACTACTGTCCAAAAATTACTATACCATTGGAAAAATTACTATACATAATTTAGAATACATTTATGTATAGTAAGGATGCAATGTTCTAAGTGATTTAGGCTTATGAAAAGTGTCACTAAAAATTCATTTTGATGTCGATATCGTGCGATATTGGGGACATCGACATTTTTGAATCGACATTTTATTAATATCGATATGAGATATTGGTATCGATATCGATAAGGAATATCGAAGCGCCTGATATCCTAACAACCCTAATAATAGACACGGGGCTCTATTTATCGAGCCGTTATTGAAATACAAGCTAATTAAGGAAAGTACGTTTTCACATACATAATTAATTAGTAATGGATTGAATGAAAATTAATTTACATTTACATTTTTTTAATAATTTATCAGATAAACTTATTACTAACATAAGATCTCAAAAAAAAAATTATTGCTTAGCCAATTTTAATTTTGAGTAAGAAGATGGTCCGGCGTGGCGGTCATAAAAAGACTAAAATAGTAACAAACTGTTTTATTTAAATCCAACGTTTCGACCTGACTTTGCAAGTCTTCTTCAGGGGGTTGTATGCAGTATTTTGGGTTTGAACTGAAACTTCCGGCTACATACAACCCCTTGAACAAGACCTGCATAGTCGGGTCGAAACGTTGGATTTAAATGAAATAGTTTGTTACAATTTTAGACAATTGTAATTTTCTTTTTTGGGGAGGGGAGAGAGTATTTAGTTTTTTGGAAAAAATATTGATTGCAATAGTCCAATTTAAATCTATTAAATATTAAAACAAAGAAGAACAGAAATCCCACTGAAACCATACTTGGACCCGTGCGAACCATGATCTTAAACAACAAAAGCACTTACCCTCTCACTTACGAAAAAATGTGCCTATTACTCGTCATGACCCAGGGAGAAAATGAATCAAACGCTGCTGATATCATGTCTCAGTTTACAAATAATGTAAACGGTCTGAAAACAATGCTCTCAGATATCAGAGACACAGTATCACATAGAGGGCTAAAAATCAGAACCTCAAAACTAATAAAGATTTTGAATGAGCACTCCTTGACCACTACTGAGCATTTAAAAATAACACATGGTGATAATAATAATCTGGAAAATATGAAACACTTTGCCAATCAAAATGAAAAAATTGAAAATCATTCAATGGAATTGTAACAGATTTTCCCGACATTTAGAGCACCTAAAAATGACAATAAGCGAAGAGAACCCTATACTAGTTTGTCTCCAAGAAACACACTTACAAGAAACTCAAACAGTGAGATACAAAGATTACGATATATACCGAAAAGCAAAAGATCGTCATGGGAAAACTTCGTCTCTTCATTACATCAAAGCATTTCAATGAAGGAGCTCTGGAATAAAGTGAAAAGCATTAAGGGGATCTCCAAAACCAAGAAATTGCCTGGTATAAAGACTGGACAAGACATTATAACTGACCCTGACGAAATCGTTAACGAAAGTGATAAAACTCTGCAACAGAGTGTAATGTAAAGGCGTTGCCAATGACCCTACAGGGTAGAGGCAACAAAATACCAAATAAATAAATAAATCTTATATATATATATATATATATATATATATATATATATATATAAAAGAATGTATGTATGCCTGTCTGTCTGTTTGTCATTTGTGCATTACTAAACCATCCATCCGATCGCCATGAAACTTTGGGAAATTGTTCCGTACACTCCTGGGAAGGTTTCTGGCATAGTACTTCTGTCTTACGATAATTTTATATATGTAAAAAAAATAAAAATGTAAATGTTTTCTGTTCAAAGCCTCAAAAAAAATGTGTCGCTATAAACTGTAGCGCCAAAACGGCTTTACCGATTTTAATGAAACTTGGCTAAAGTCTTCCCCTTGAAGCCCTATTAATTTATGTATATAACATACTTTCCCGTAAACAAGCTCAAAAATGTTACGATGAATTCAATATTTTATTTGACGATAGCTAAAAATTTTTTGAATTTTTGACAATACCGATATTTATATGTAATATTTCTGAATTGCTGACAAAATAAAAAAAATCATCGAAATCGGACGGTTCGTTGCAGAGTTATAGGGATTTAAACATTTACAACTTTCTTTTCAGAAAAGGCCATTTCCTTATACTTCCTCACTACTGATGGTAGGAAAGCATTTTTTATTTATTTATTGATTAATCGAAAATTTTATGATTACTACAATAATTATCATTTGGGGAAATTATATGATTCTCCTTATGTAGGTCAATACTATTATACGTTCTTTATATTAATGTTTTATTTTAGTTTTAAGTTCAACTCATACTGTTTCTGATGATTATGAATGATAGCGTATTTACTCAGATGATTATGAATGTTCAATTTGAATCTTTAAAAAAAAATCATTAGAATTAGTTTAAATTGAAGCCATTTTACAGACAAATTTGTTTGTAAAAATCTAAAGAAGGCTACAATGGAATTAGAGGTGGATTGGAGACCTCATTCAACAAAATTCCTTAGTCTTGAGAGCCAGAAGAGAAATTTATACTACTACTACAGCATATAGAGTAGATAGAATACAGATTCTATTGATGAATGAATCTGTTTACTTTAGAATCTCACTATTATGTTAAGAAGGACGAAAGAAAATTATTCTGTTGGTTGTGCCGTAATCGACGAATTCCCTTCTACTTTCCTATTCCATTGAAAGCAAATAGCCGAAGAACCAGAAGCTCTCCTGAGGAACTGTCCCATTGATCTCGGGCTACGTGATCCCATCAGAAGGCTAAGCGGCCTTCGATGGTCACAAAGGTCCTTTGTCGAAGAGCTGTCGGAGATGTCATCGATCCTGTGTTGTGAGTGGCCTCATCTGTTTACACTTTCTTCTCCTTAAGAGGCCTTCCACTTCTTAGTCACTTCGTCTCTTCAATAACGCGATGAAAAAAATTATCTATCAATTACAAATTCATCTAGGGAAAAAAAAATGGTCCAAAAAAACCTCTCCGTTTAACAAGAAAAAATGGCTGAATCAGGGACCTTTCGATAATATCCCGAATATTGGCGTAGTCATGACCTTACAACAACCAGCAACAACATACTAATAGAATTAGAAATATTTTTTTAATTTTTTCTCTCTTCTTTGCCTTTTAGACTATGAAGTTTTTCTCCTGTTTCAGGAGAGAGGGCTGGGGATTAAAATTCTTGGGGCCAACGCGTATTTTATATACGTGTTGGACCGCTCGACCACCCCCAACGAAACGTTCGAAGTATTTGCATTTCAGTTCACCTGCAATTTGCATTAGTGACGAATTTCTTCAATCCACCTCGAGTTCTATTACAGCCTTCTTGAGATTTTTACGTTCCTACCGGTACTTAGCAAGAATTTAATAAAAAAATATGATATTTTTATATCAATATTAAAATTGGACTATCACAACCAATATTTTTTTCAAAAAAATAATTAACCTCCCAAAAAAAAATCTTAATTACCTAACGAACTCATTTATTTAAATCCAATTCCCTGCTGCAGAATTGGGGCATTTTCAATCTGGTGATCGGCTAACTTTGTCTATTTAATTAGGTACCAAAAACATGTAAATAACCATTTGCTTTCCACTTGAATCGTAACATAATTAAAGCACAAAATCGAGAAAAAGTTAGCCTTAAAAAATATTGAGCCGTTTAGCGTAGCCTACACCCACAATATAGACAAAACGGCCCAATGTTTTTTCAGGCCACATTGTTTTTCGATTTCGACTGATATATACGTTTCAGAGCCCCTGTGTCCGAAAAACACATTTTTAGCCATTGGTCTGTCTGTGCCAAGATTTTCTCGGGAACTAGTGAACCGATTTTGTTGCTTCTTTTTTTATTTTGTAAGGTTTTCGACTACCGATGCCTGTGACACGAATTGGGTGCTCCCTTGCAATAGCAACTGTGCAATAAGTGAAACCTATTTTTCTATCGACTGTAGTTCAAAAACGTCTCTAACGATTTTGATGAAACTTAAGATTTTTGTCAAGGTGTCCAAGAGACAGATTGTTGTAATACTCAATAAATAAATTTAAAAAAAAAAATTGAAAATGTGCCTTGCTTTGTGACTTTACGAGATTGGTTCTAATCACCTTACATTGATGAACAATTTAGAAAAAATTCTAGCCTTTGGAAATGAATGAAACTAAAAAAATTGAGAACGCACTCTGTGTAATATAATTTTTCTAACTATTTCTCTCAATGGTGTCGTCATCCTGATATGATAGTCCTTTCAACACATACAAAAATAGAAGAGACTTCTGGATCCGCCTTCAAGCGTGAGTAACAGGTGTGTGAAATTAATCCTTGGCATTTCCAGTGACGTGATCCTTATTCTTTTCAAGCAGACATTAATCAAATAATCTACGAAACTCATTGAAAGAGACTAGATCCAATAACAAAAGAACAGGATTTCCTACGGAAGTAGAAAGGACCTCTATACTTTCGCCGATCTGGAAATAAAAAGAAAAAGAACTGTGACCATGGGACAGATGTTGTTTTTATCCTTAATAGTTGCGGTCATTATCCTTAAAGGTCCTCCTCGTGGGCCACCATTCGGGTCCTCGATGTTGAGGAATGTCCAGGTGAAAGGAAAATAAGAAAGTTATTGGTTGATTGATCGAGTCATTTTTTTTGTTTTGTTTGCGCTTCCTGTCACTGTCAATTCCACCTTCTTCAAAGAGTTTTGAAACCCGTTTTGACAGTTTCGGGCTATTACTGAAAAAAAAAAATGTGAAAATCTCCTAAGTTATTAGAAAATTATAGCGCAATTAAATTACGCGAACACGTAATTCTACAACCGACATTGGCAAAAAGCATGATTGAGCCATTGAAGAAGCCATAAGGAGAAGAGAGATTTGATGATGACGAGTGTATAATATTAATTATTTATATATATTTACATATTTTTTTTAGGCCTTATATTTTACACATTATTAAATATTTGAAAAAGTATTGCGATCGTGAAAATTTTCAAATCTGAGTTTTCAACGGAAATACATGTTTCGAGGTTTCCTGTGTCCAAATAAGCAAGTCCCGCAAAATGGTCTGTGTGTGTTTGTGTGTGTGACCTGTCTAGCTCAAAAATGAAAAATCACGTGAAAGTGAAATTGCATTTTTAAGGTTTGTATATACGTCAGACGTTACAGAAACTTTTTCGTCTAAACCGGCTAATCGAAAGTGGCACTTCATATCATCGATGAAACACATTTTTTAATATTTTACTATAACGGCTCTAACGATTTTGATTAAATTTATTTTATCAGTGTAAATAAGTAGTTTTTAATATTATGTAGGTTTTATTCTTATTGATGTTCTCTAACATGACTTAAATGGCTTATTTTCAATATTAACTTCCTCTAAAGCAACTTTAATTTTGTTTATTTGAAGCCATTAACCATTTCACGTTAATCTCTAATATAGAAGATAGTTAAATATAAAGTATGAAAGGATTTGATAATTAACTAAAGGAGAAATAAAAGATCGTAACAGAGAATGGTTGTACTGAAGGAACCAAAGTGATACGAACGTGGCCGAGTTCACTCGAGCTTGCCCGAAGATTAGAACAGGCTTCCATAGTAACATGAGCTTAATATAATACGGAATCCAACAATATTATGCGCATATACATATGCGTTTTCCTAAATGTTTTCGATGTTATTATTTAATATTTAATTGTTTAATTTATTACAGCGATATAGATATTAATATTTGTATATATAAAGTTACTTAAACAAATAAAAATCCCCTTAATGAAATATAAATCAATATAGTGTTTATAATTTTTTACTTTCACTTCCCCTTTCTCGGAAAATACTTATTTATGCTAAGAGGGTGGTAAGTTAAAGTTGTGCCATGCGTTCACCGCAATAATTTAAACAAAGTAAGTACAAATGGAGCGGTACACTCATGGTGATTAT